AAGGTAAATATCATAAAAATAGCAAGCAGTAATGCGTGTATTCCTATATTTCATGTTTCCTTCAAATATCCCAAAAAAAACGAGAGAAGCCCATTGCAAAGCAATGTTAACGTTTTATACATGTTTTCACACCAGTGAAGACTATAAAACAGTAAATAATGTTATAATGGTTGTTTGTTTAATAACAGGTGTTTTATCAGTTTTTATTTTATCAAATATATATTTGTGCTCATTAATTGCCTAAATAATTTGATAATGAATTGCTTCAACAACATAAGGTAATAACATAAAGTGGATTAAGTCTGCTTAACCTGAGAATAATCTGATCATATCTTCGTCTGATCTATCATATATCACTGTTAAAGTGTCCTTGGTCACTACGATTTCACTGGGGCTTAATTTCCACCAATCTGAAAAATGTGTTTGTACAATTTCAGAACACGTAGAGGTAAACAAACAACTAATGAATTTGCTATACCTCAATGTAGTATTGACTAGATGACTTTACATCGCTACTTACCCCTGTCAGTGTGTTAACATGATAATTGATGAGCTTCTAACACTTTGACATACTATTACTCCCTTTTCCAAGCCTGTTGCTGGGCACTTGGTTCTTAGTAAAGTGGCAAAGGGATCCTGACGAATTGATGAGTACAAGGCCAAACTATCAAGTTTGCACGATAACATGAAAAAAAAATGTTGCTAATTCCATACATTCCATACATTCAGTTGAAGTCTTTTTTTCTGAAGGAACATGTTTAAAAACTACATGTTAGAATTAAAACGATCAATAGATTGTAATTAATAGAACATTACGAGAATTGAGAGTTTTTGAGATGTTCCCTTACTAACCGGTATAACAGATCATAGCAAATGGAATGAATGTAAACAAAAGCAGAGTGACCCCCGAGTGAGGACAAACCAGTTAGAAGAACAGAGGTTCAGCCAGCAGACACAACACTATATAAACTAGCAAGGTGCTGCCTGCATGTGACTATGCAAATAGGTGATAAGAAGAGTCTGTCGAACAACACAGTGTGGGACCATTGCATCGGCATACCACTGAATAGAGAGCCGGAACATGTCATCTTGTTTAACTGAAATCTATTTATCATTAGAGGATCATCGCAAAGTAAATATTGACATCTATTAGAAGACTGGAATATGAGCACGATGACAGATTTACTAAGTTCTAACCAGCTGATGTGATTTTACGCAGATTCTCAGAGGAAAAAACTGGTAAAAAAAAAAAGTTGATTCAGCTCAACCTTGCATGCACGTGTAGCGGATTGTTACGTCTTGACAAAGTCCATGTGGATTAAGATAAAGACCAGTTTCAGGGCTATTGGGTAAGTGTGATTCATTAACAAAACGTTGTGATAATGTAACCACTTTAAATACAACTCACAGGCAGCACTCAAACACAAACATGCGTCTACCGTAATTCAGCATGCTGACAAACAATAAATACAAATAGGGGTAAGTATTGGCACCCTAGACAAGACCAACAAAAAATGTTACACACACCAGGGTAGCTAAGACCACGGAATCTTTTTATTATTATGATTATTATTCAGTACTGAACATTTAATATTTCAGCCCTCCTTGCAAGTCACTTGAATCAATTAACTTACTAGACTATGCTGTCTGAAATAAAACAGTCACCTAGTATACATGTATGTACGTGTGGGTATATTCAAAATTCAACCTATAGCATATTGTCTGAAAAGCCTTCAGTAAAGCGTGGTGTTAAAAAGTTCTTTTTCTCCAGGCATCTATCACAGGCCTTTCACTATAACCCACCCTTGAATACGAGAGGAGGTACAAGACTTGAAGGGGGAACAACAGAACACAAAGCCAGCTTTTCATCTTGTATATTCTGAGTGAATTGCAAACGATATTCTGCCCTCTAAATTGCTGACACTGTGGTTGTTTTCAATTACAGAATACAAAAATACAGATTACCATGTCATTGTTGTGTTTCTTCTCCGTGTGAAATGAGGCATGAAATTTGAAAACTTAGCGTGCTTTAAGCTTCTTATAAAGCCTATATTTCCTGTTATTTATTAGACAAGAAAACATGTCAGGGTGTTGATCCCGCAGTTTGTCCAACACTCATTATCTCAAGCTCGCAGTGAAAAACTCACAATTAAGTTTTTTCAACTTCTATAAAGGAGGATAAAAAGGCAAATCCTGTCAATTATACTGAACAATTCATTCTCTGTACGTATTGTTGAAGAGGAAAATAAAAAGATCACTGGTATCTTTCACCCTGCCAACTTTTTCCCAGGTTGGAAAAAAATTTTTAGGCTAAAGCACCACACAATTCTCTACTCGGTGCTGTTTGAATAATTTAAATATAGCTCAAGTTTCCAACTCTTTTAAGGTTTTTTTTTTTGCTCTTCTTTTTTGTGTGTAAATTTTAACCAGGTTTCTAATCAAACTAAATACAAGTTACTACTGCTTGTAGGTGTTCTTGAACAAATCATTAGCAGGTTTCAAGAAACAAATACTACAACAACGGCCATGAAAGAATGATGTCAACAAATTATCTTCAACACAAACAATGAAATGTAAGAAAACATGAGGTATTTTCAAACAAAGCCAGTGGCTCGGTGATAATCATTGCTAACGAGAGCCAAGCCATTACCACAAAAATGTCTATTCTGATAAAGTCTTAGTTTAGAATTCCAGTCGAAAAAGCTCTAGAATTAACAGGCCACTAATACGCAAAATTAAACAGTGCAGTTTATATGTGGTATCAGTATTTTAAGTGCCTGAGGCGACGGAATACCAAAGTACATGCAATATAAAGTATGACCCACGCAAACGACCCAATTGTTTAATTGACCCCCAAGACTGAAAGAACAATGATACTGACAAGATATAAAAAAAAAATATACAAGGACTTACTTGATTCCAAACTTCATAAGACATTTATCGCGGCATCTTCCATTTTTCCAATTTAAAGCAATCCGGCACCGCTCCTTGATCGAAAGATTTCCAATTCTAAAAACAGCAAAGTAGAAATCAGATTGATTATTATCATTACAATATTTTGCTTGTTTAACTTTTCTGCATCACAAAACATTCATAAATCCTGTTAAAACAAACAGATGACTTACAGAGTAATCAGAAAAGTATTAAGGTGGGCTGGATTGAAAACCAAATTTCTCTGAATATCTCATCCTCAGTTCCCAAAAGTTCCCAATTCTTTTTTTATATCACAGTTCTTGGAAATACATATCACATTTCTTGGACCTTGAAGAGACTCAACACAGTATTTATGACTTGATTGGTCATTAAACAATCAAATGACTAATTTTTAACATATCGGTAGTACTGATGAATGAGTTACTGTAAATATACTTATTTATTCACTATTTCTAAATTTTTACGGATAAATGAAAATTTTCTAATTTAGAATCAAAAACAAATAAAACATATCATTTTATTTGAAGTAAATCTCTGTGAAGAAAAAAATGCTTACATATGTAGAGATCTGCAATGATGATACCCAGGTAATGTTATGATAACTACAAAACTAGAGTGGGGGTGGTGTGACTCGTATTTCATTTATTTTCATAACCTGCTATAGGGAGTGTTTATTGAAATTTGCGAGCAAAGTTTAATGTTTATTGAAAAATTGTACAAGAACTGGGTTAGAATAACATAAAACACTGCAAAACATCTGTATTCATGCCCTTAGGGGGGAAAGAGCATACTGAGAGCTAACATCAAAAGAAAAATAAATTAAATCATAGTGATATGCAATTTTAATTCCTGTCTGTACATTTTGAGGATTCATAGAATTAGGGATGATTTAATTCAAGGGTTTTTTAACTGTGAGTTCTTTTTGATAATTTGAAATAATTGACATGTTTCAATCAAACTTCAAACAGAATCAAACTGAAAATCGAAGAAAGTTTACAAAAAAGAGGTATGTGAAGTAGATATAGCATAAATTTGTATATTTAAAATTAATTAAGAATTTAAGGTTAGCTTTTGAACACATCACCAATGAAAAGACAATGTAATATATAAGAAGCTTGACTTTTTGAGATGCACATTGTGAAAGCATCATTACCGGTATATAGTACGAACTGAAAACAAAAAATATTAAAGTAAATTTGATATGATACATTTGATTGTAAATCTGTAGTTTGTAGTCTGTGAATTATCCAGGAGTCTGAAGTTTAATTTAAATTTGATGCGGTTATCAAGATAATGAGAACTTTATGCAAATTAGGTGATTAATATACATTGATTCCAACTATAAAGCTAATCACGCCAGAGAACCTATGTACCAAGTTTCATACATGTACATGTACTTCAAATATTTGTGGAGCAAATAAAAATTGGCTAATTTTAATTCAAGCAGCTGAATGACTATTTGGGACTATTTTTATGTTTAGACTCAGCCAAAAAGCTGTGTTTCTCTTGACCTATGACCCCTTTCGCTGCATTTATGGGTTACAATGACCTTAAACGATAATGCTACCTTGTTATATATATTTATGAAATTATTATTAGGACACATGTCATTAAGTTTTTGTTATTATTTTCACCAGCACAAAATATATTTCTAAAGAAGAACTGTCTGAAAAAATGACAAAATAGACATTTTTTTAAACAAAGGAGTTCATGTTAAA